GGGAAGAATGAAGGGGGGGTAATCGGAGGGGAGACGAACCATGAGAGACGATGGACTCTGAAAAACAAACTGAGGGTTCTAGAGCGGAGGGGGGTGGGGGGATGGGTTAGCCTGGTAATGGGTATTAAGGAGGGCACGTACTGCATGGAGCACTAGGTGTTATACACAAACAATGAATCATGAAACACTACATCAAAAACTAATGATGTAATGTATGGTGATTAACATAATAAAAATTTTAAAGAAAAAAGAAAATGATCTCCCTTTCTGAGACATCCCCAAATAATCCCACTGTGACCATCACAGCTTGCTGACTTCTCACGCACACACAGCACCAATCTCTCCCAGCCACTCCAGTCACAAGAGCACGGGCAGGCCAGTCAGCCAGGGCACATGCCGTTCCTGTTATGGGCTCCTATGCATCCTCCAAAACCCAATTTAAGACTCTGCTCCTCTTAAGCCTTCCCGGACCCCCCAGGGGACGTTATACCTCATCCCAATGCCTGCTTTGGAGACCGTTCTGTTCCGTGTGTCTGCTCCACTCAACTGTCAACTCCTTGAGGCCAAGGAATATGTCTGAAGGCTCTGCATCCACAGTGCCCAGCACGCAGCGGGACGAATGGAAGCCATTTTACAGATAAGAAAATCAAGAGTCCTCTAGGTGAGCTGAATAGCGGAGGAAACAGTCAGGTGTCTTGTATCATCCAGACTCAGAGCTGAGTCCACCATTCCCTGCATGCAGCGCCCCCAGAACCTGGGAAACAGGAAGCCGGGGAACTGGAGTTTTCTTTAGAAAATGAATGGGGTTGGGGGGCGTGCAGGGAAGGGGTAGTCGGGGGGAAACCAAGATTCCCCCCGTCCTGTCTCAGGGACCTCCTTTGGAGGGGTAGTGGCCGGGGATTCTGTGGTCAAAACCACCCGGGATGCGATGACCGACTCTGCCAGCACCGCCCGAAGAGAGCAATTCCCATTCACTCGCACGCATACGCTCACACTCGAAGAGACAGACCCAGACACAGCAAAAATAGCCCCTTCTCCAAAGACCACCCGCTGCTTCTTACTTACCAGGGAAAGACGGCCATATTCCCAGTCACGTGAGCGCTTGTACTGGGGCAGCCAGCCCTTTTCTCCCTCCCACGAACCGCCTCGCCCCGCCCCGCTCTGGCCGCCATGATTGTAAGGGGCAGATGCTGAGGCAGATGCCCCGCTGAGCCTTGCGAGCGCCATGATTGTGAGGGGCAGGAACCCTCTCGCTGAGCTTTGGCAGCGCCATGATTGTGAGGGGCGGACGGACTTCCCCTGGGCCTGTCCTCGGCGCCATAATTACGAGGGGCAAACGCACTTCCTGTGAGCCGGTCATCGGCGCCATAATTTTGGGGGGCACGCGCATCCACTAAGCCGTTCGTCGGCGCCATGGTTGTGAGGGGCATACGCACTTCCGTTGTGCTGTCCACTGACGTGATTGTCAGGGGTAGATACCTTCCTTCAAAGCCTAGGCTATACTGATCCGCTAGCGTTATAGTTAAGGAGGCGGGCGCCAGTGTCGCAAAATTCAGGCTCTGCTGTCTGCCAGTGACATGATTGTGAAGGGCAGGTGCTCTCCCGATGGATGCCTTCCCTTACATCCCAGGTTGCGACGTCCACCGGCACTATAGTTACTGGAATGGGCACCAGCTTTGAAGGCCCGAGGCTGTGCCGGTTGTGGGCACCGTGATTGTAAGGGGCAGGCACACTTCCGCAGAATGGTCCGCGACGCCATGAGTGTGAGAGTCAAATACACTTCCGAAGCGCGTCTCAGACGCCATGATCGTGAGGGGCAGGCCGACGTCCCCGAAAGGCCCGCCATTCCACGACTGAGAGGGGCGAAGCACACTTCCGGAGCGCCGGCGTAGATGCCATGATTGTGAGGGGCGGTCGTACGTCCACGGACTTGTGCCACCATGACTGTAAAGAGAGATACCCGCCTGCAAAACTCAGGTTACACCGTCCGCCAGTTCTACAGTTACGGGGGCGGGTACTAGTGCGGAAAAGCCGAGGCTGTTCAGTTCTCTGGTACGACTGCGAGGGACAGACGCATTTCCGCTCCACGGCAACACCATGATGAGGAGGAATACGCTTTTGGAGCGCCGTTTGCGACGCCGTGATTGCGAGAGGTGGGCGTACGTTCCCTCCTGTGGCGCCATGATTGTGAGGGGCATGCGCCCTTCCAGTGGGCCCCTGAGGCGCCATGATAATAAGGGGCGGACACATCTCCACTGCTGTATCCGCGACGCCATGATTGTGAAGGGCAATCGTAGGCCCCCGGGAGGCGTGCCGCAGCATGGACATGCGCCGTGTGTAGGAAGGGGCAGCCGGCTACCTAGCCCACCAGCGCCCTCTGGGGGCGCAAAAGAATCCGGACCCGGGCGCAGCGAAGCGGCAACCGCGGATGGGAATGGGGAGACAGTGTCTGGGGTTCGCGCGGTTTTACAGCGAATTTGCTGTTTGGCTGGTGTAGGCGCCGTTCTTATCAGGCCGCTGCTTTCCCCTCCTGATCCCTCTCCCAGGACTAACAACCCGGGTCTCTAAGGGCTGCAGTGGACGCGAGATGACCGCCTTCAGCTGGAGCTAAGCCACATAGGGAAGTTGGGGTTGGCTTGTCACCCAACTTGGCAAAGCTGAACGTTTCCGTAAAGGTGGATACCCGATTCGACCACAGAACTTTTGTAGTGTTTTCTCGGGTTAAAAAAAAATCGGGGTATTTTTCTAAGAGCTACCGTTTGCTGCATGCTTTACTGTGTCAGGCTCTGTGCAGCCACTTCACGGGCCCCTCCCAGCAAACCTCTGAGATCAGCACCACGGCCCCCTGTTCGGGAGTCACAGCAGGTGGGGTGCCTGAGGCGCCCGAGTGCCCCGAGCGGCAGCGGCTGCGCTTAACCGATCTGGTGGGGAGACGTGCTTAGTCACCAGGCGGCGTCTCGTCCCCGCTTGGCCCCCTTTCCTCGCAAGTGGCCTCTGACAGCGCATGAACCACATTCTCGGGAAAATCGCGAATAGGCTCTCGGCGGCACGTGGGATTTCCGCACGCCGGGTCCCGCTGACTCTCACGTGTGGGGAGACGGCTCTAAAACGCTCGCCTGAAGCTGGGCGTCCGCAGACCCGCAGAGGATCGCGTTGCACCTTTAGAGCTTTTGTCTGCACGGCAACCTGCTGTCGCCGGCATGTGCACCCCGGCGCGGGCTCCGATTCGGGTCCGGGGCCGCCGGGTTTCTGCAGCTCGTACCCCCAAGCCGGCTGTTTTAACCCACAGGAATGTGCGGGGTGGGGGTGGGGTTGCCCCACCACCGGCTGAGAAGCAAACCACCTGAAGAAACAAGAATTGAGAGCCACAGAGAAACTGGCCACAAAAGGAAGTGAAAAGGCAGTATTTTGTTGTCAAGGGTAATTTTGGTTAGACACGATTTTTTGCCCTCAGAGCTGTCCTTAGAACCTAATTGAGGATGTGACTCAGTTACTACGCCATATTCCAGTTTGATTTGCTGTATTCAGCAAGTCTCCCTTGTGCGTGTGTGTGTGTGTGTTTTAGATTGGGTTCTGGGTTTTGTGGGTCTTTTTTTTTTGGAGTTTAAATTCCAGTTAACATACAGTAATATTAATTTCAGGAGTACAACATAGTGATTCTTCCTTGTTTTAAATTATTTTTGTAAAGATTTGATTTGACAGCACAAGTAGGCAGAGAGGGAGAAGAAGCAGGCTCCTGTGGGAGCAGGGCATGCGGGGTTCGATCCCAGGACTCCGTGATCGTGACGGCAGACGGTCAAAGACTGAGCCACCCAGACGCCCCTTAAATTATTTTTATAACCCATACCTGTGCTGGCTATACTCCCTCAGTGATAAAGCATTCCACCTCCGTTTGCTTATTTTTGTGTAACTGTTAACTTTTCGTTGAGGGCTGGGGGCGGGCTTGTTTTCAGCTCCGTATGAGTAATGAGGCCGGCCCAGCCATATCCTCATGTCCACCATTCCCAGCAGTTGAAATGAACCACAGCTGCAGGGCGGCCCCAGGAAAGGTGAGCGGCTTTCCTCAGAAAGAGGTGAACGTGAGGCGCGCTCACCTGGGACCATGAGGCAGTAACAAGACCTGGATCTTGAAGCGGCGCTAATTAGTAGCAGCAGCTTTGATGTGAGCGTCAACCTCAGCATTCCCTCCCCTTGGCCCGGAGCAGGCTGCTAGCTCCGACTGAGCTAAGGGAGTTCCAGCTCCAGTGAACTTTCCCTTCCTGGAAAGTCCGATTCGTGCAAAATCAAATGCTGAACGAAGCCCTGGTATAGGTTACACATTAAATAGTGGGACATACCTTTCATGGGACTTTTAATTATAAAAAAGATCAATATAGTATTAATGTTTTGGCCAGAGATTTTTCAGTATTTATCCCTTAATGGTCCTTTCCTTGATAAATAACGATCAAGCTACATTTCTTTTAAGATGAAAAGTTTATTTTCCTTTTGCCTAGAAGCAAAACTAGTGAAAATTAAAGTATAAAAATAAATACAATTTACGTTAATGGACATTCCACTCAAAGTAAAAATAACAAAAATAATGTATATAAATAAATCCATTAAAAGCACAAAACAATGGCACTTTTATGAGAAAAAGCTGTGAACATTAAAATATGTATAAAACACACGCTTTTATTTAAAAAAAAAACACTCCCGTTACTCAACCTTAATCTAAAGCTACTTTTAACTTTCTCCAAAACAATTTGTTTTAGCTAATTTGCATTAGTTCGCACAAAACTTGTAGCATCTGTCTTTCTGGAAAGACCCACAATGATATGAGTAAGCTGTATCCTGAGTTTTCAGAATGATAAAGCACAATTTATCATATTAAGATATTTTGATATACTTTGCCTACAAATAAAAAATTGGTAACTCAGACATTTTTTACCGTCTTCTGATTTCCTGATAAATGATACATATCTCAATAAAGAAAATCAAGTTTACACCCAGGGTAGACTATTATTGTCTGTCTTACGGCTGGATGTAACAGCTAAATTTTAAATAGGACAGAAAGTTGGAGAAAACAATCTTTATCTCCACCTTCTTAAAAGGATATTAAGAATATATGTAGTCTGCATTTTCAAAATACCAGTATCATTTAAAATTCAAGTTAGAAAGAGTAAATGTACACAGTCCCAATTTTATATGAGAAGCACAAAGCCCTTTTTGGAAATGGCATGATAAATTAACAGTGACATTCTCTTTCATAAAATCATGTTCCCTCGGTAACATTGTTTGGTTTATATTTTAAATGAATACATTAGTGATGAACCTTAAACATCAGTGCCTCTTAATGCAGAATTTCAACTCGACAATATTACTATCCCATTGGAAAGTCTGAACTTACTGTTACTGTATAGCCCTTTAGTGTCTCCTAAATCAGGCAAGCTAGAAAAAACAGACTATGAAGGAACAACATACGCAGACCACCAAGAAAACAGAAGTGCATGCAGTGTGAGTCTATTTTACAGAAATGGATGCACTGATTCACTCCTAGGCGCCACTATATTCAAGAAGATTGTGCTACCTCCCTAATTTGTTATCCTCCACAGAAAGATTTTATGATTTAGGAGAAGGGTGTCCAAGAGCACTGGGGTAACCTACATTAAACCTAACATTTCTGCACAAGACAACTAGCGGTTAAGAGGAATGTATACTGTTGACCATAATTGGTGGCCCCCAGCTACTTCTGTGGTAAATTGCGGATGGACCACAATCAGCAGGCAAGTGTTTTCTCCTATGAGGTTATCCCATAAGCCCAAGAATATGAAGACTGAGAGATTAATCAGTGTTTAAATTTTACAAAACCAGAGAAAGACATTCTTCTGCAGTAATTTCCCCTCGAATAGAACAGAATCTAATTTTATCAAATTTAGCAATCAGTATGCAGAGATGAACGAAATTTGTATTTCCAAAATTACTTGTAATTTATCACACCTTTTCAACATTTTATAGAAATAAACCCAAATGTCCTTGAAATTTACAAAAAAAAGTTCTCAGCAGACGTCTGGGTACAGAAAACAAACTTAAGTTTGTACAGGTTAAGCAAAGAGATGGTCGA